TGCCCAAAACCTAATCCGTTCATTAGACGCTGGAATAAAGCTTAAGTTTAAAATTTGGTGTTTTTCTGTGTATCGGTTCATGAGTTATGCGACCTACAGACACACACACACACACACACACACACACACACACACACACACACACACACACACACACACACACACACACACACACACACACACACACACACACACACACACACATACACACATACACACATACACACACACACACACACACACACACACACACACACACACACACACACACACACACACACACACACACACATATCATCGCGAAAATAGTCAAAACGGATTCAGGGGACCTCAAAACGTAAAAATCCGTCGAAAACTCGAAGTCGAAAAAATCATGATTCCTATACTTTCCTTATATCTGTATACAGATAGGAAAGTAAAAATACTATGTTGGTCAAGTTATTAAAGCAAAGAAAGATGAAGAAGAATAGAAATGAAATTTATCAAAATAGTACCTTCCTTAGATCCCTTATCCTCTTCAACTTTTGCGTGGAAATATCCAGATGAATGTGCTATTATTGCTAGAGAGGATATAACATTAGCCCTTCCTAAACAGACCTTTACTAAACGTGGTCTAATACGGTTTGAACTAAATTTTTTAGCTTTTAACATACAATAAAACTATAATATCATCTAAAATTAATGGTTAAAAATGTTTTTAACTATATTAAATTAAATTGACTTGTGGGAAATAAAGGACCTTTTCTAACCCCTTACACTTAATTTGTATTGTTAGTTTATTCTAACTGTTTTGATGCAATTAAATATGATGTACCTGGTTCATTTTCTTTTAAGGCTGCAATCATAAGATGTACCATATATCTTCCACAAGCATCTGTGCTTTCATCAACAATGATGTAAAAATTGCTATCATCCAGTAAAACTTTAATTTCTTCTATTACATTTAGATTCGTCAGGAATGGTTTGATTGCAATATTTTTGTAAAAATTCTCTTAGATGTAGGTTTTGTAACTTCTTTAGTGGAATATTTGCCGCAACAAGAGCTTTGCACAAGTCCTGATTAAATACCTACTTGTCACTTTTTGTTTTGTCGGCGTTTTGAAATGACCTCACAACGCATTGTTGAACCGGTTGTGATTTCATTTTTTGCAATTTGGCTTTATGCAATGATGTTTTCACGTGTTGAACCACTTTGAACTTTTTTCGCAAACCACTATTTTGGCACAAGCTTTACAAAAAACTTTATCCCCATTGATTTCCAACTCTGGAAAGTAAATAATCCACGAAGAAATTCTCGACATTTTAGGACACTTTTAAAACAACAAATTATTACAAGACTTTTCACTAGGCAAATAACGAGGATACTATCTCATTAAACCGAATGAAAAACATTCAAAATATTCCGATGTTAGGGTAGATTGGTCACAAGAAATTACTGAGAATTTTATATAAACCGTTTTATTGCATTGTAGGTAATACTTTATCTGTGTAAATACCATCTATTAACAATTACCTTAATGGGCTTAATCTCTTAAGAAGGTAAAAACCCAGTGCATGCCACCCTCTAAGAACTAATTAACAAGAATTTACAAGAAGTGACACTTAAAAACAAATACAAAAATTTAGAAGGTCTTTATTTCAAATATATCTGTATAATCTGTTAAAACAGTTTTTGATTTGCACAGTATAGTAACACATTTTTTTTTTTTCGAAAATATGCAATATTTTCATAAATTTTCTGAACTTTGGTAAAATATGCAATATTTTCTGAATTTTGGAAAAATATGCAATATTTTCTGAACTTTGGTAAAATATGCAAAAAATGCATATATATGCATTTTGCATATATTCCGCTCTCTAGTGATGAGTTTATATTGTATCCCAACAAACAATGAATTGCCGGGATATTGCTGGTCTTTTGCTGTAATTGAAGCAAAAATGAATGCGAGGATTAAAAAATAAAAAAATACTTTTGTCCTTTTAATAGTGGCCCAGCATTATGTTGGTTGATGAATGGGTGAGAGCCAGGTAAAAGTCAAAAGGCTTTTAACTGCCGCAGACCCAACCCTTCAACAGTCCAAGGTACCTATTCTTGAATCTTGGGGAGTAGAAATTTTGAGGGAAGAATGAGACAAAAATACAAATTTTGTGCGTTGCAGATAAAGAGGACAAAACGGTTTTCTACTCCCTCGAATTCAAGAATAGCTACCCAGGAGGGTTCCGTCCCGCGTTCATAGATGAAGACACCGATGATCACTTGCTACATACTCAACGAGTGGACATGAGCCCAGTTTGGGATTGATGGTACTCACTATTCATTGTAATTTTTTGCTCATACATGTTATTAATTTAGATTATTTTATGAAAATACATTTTTTAGAAGACATTTTATCTTTATTATATTTTATATAGCTGAATTAAATAAAATATCTACAATATTCTAGGTATATTGGAATGCATTCGGTTTTATATACTTCAAACAGTACTGCTGGTCAAAGAGGCACTATCGAATTGTACCTGGCACATGGCCTTTATTAGCAGTCAGTATTAATTTGATAAAAGGCCTGCAATTTCCCGTTAACTTTCCATCAATAGGCCATTAATTGCCAATATATTTATTTCAACACATTAAAGAAAAAACAGAGGTCTTTAACTTGATTTTATGTCTAACAAAGCCCGCTTAATAAAGTTTTAAAACCTTTACATTATAATTCGTTGCTTGTTATAACTTTTTACCTATAATAAAATTTTGAAAATATTAATACAAATCATATTCTTTTTCTATTAAAATGTTTAAAAATGAAACTCCTATCGATAACTTTTAACATACTAATGCTGCTACTATACATTAGTTACCTAAACCAACCCTGGCATCCAAAAAGCATGTTTAGAAAAAAATCATATTTAGTAAGACTGATTGAAAATAATTAAAATTGTCAACACCTATGCCATACCCATTTAAAGGTCCAAGGTCATAGAAATCGCATTTCAAAATCCTTTGATCTTTTGCCGGGTTTCGCATCGGTTGTGGTTAATCTGTGGTAATGCCTAAAAAAGATGTAATTTATACCAAAGTGTTTTGCCTGGGATGTCATTTGACATTTGAAGGGGCAACAGACCACTGTTAGTTATGTTTGGCTGAGTGTATGTTCAAAGCTCAATTTTCTTTTCTAAAAAATATTTCACATAAAACTTACTTGATTTTTTAGGTGGAGTAAAATAGTAATAAATATGTATATTTGAAAAAACATGGTCGACCTTGTGCAAAGTCCTTGAAAATGGAGACTCATCTAAACATTACTGAGACTGGACTGTTGTTCCTTTAATGTCAAATAACATTTGACATATGTTTGAAATATTTTTCGTAAATTATACAGAATAATATAATTATAACCACTATTAAATCATTATCGACATTGCATATTGTTTGTATGAATTTTATTGGACAATGATTTTTTTCTATATAATCCGTACTTTACATATTTTTTTAAATATTTTTTCATAATTTATAAGGAAAAATTGTTGTTAAAAATATTCCTTAATTATTGTCTTTGTACTTTTAACACATTCGCAGACACTCATATTTTATGGTATGTGCATAATTGGACACAAGCGGCATAAACCGCAACATATATTATCTCAGTAGGGACACTGACGGCAACAGCCGTCAAAGACTTAATGCGCTATAGATACATTTTGCGCTATATAACGTCAATTTTGTATATAGAACTATGTAAAGTGTCTCACTAGATACCTGTGTGATAAAAATTGTTTGCGAAATGTCATTGGTGGGGGGAAAAAATTTGGTTCGGTGATATACAAAGTTTTGGCGCGTTTAGTTCAGATTTACGCATTGTTAGGGACTGTGTGCTAAATACTTGGCTTAGTACGTATCTAAAATGGACAAAAAGCAAGAACAACAACTACTTAGGTGGTATGATGAGCTTGATACGAAGATAGAAGGGTCAGAATCGGATGCTAAAAATGCACACGATCCATATAGTACCGATGATCCCATAGATGATCCTGAATACACTCAAAATTTTTCATATTCTAGAAGTCGAAATTTCTCCTGATCAAAAAGTTGGCGGGGAATTTGTTAGAACTGTACCAAAACGAACTAAATCCATGCCATCTAAAAATTTTTACCAAATCATTTTGTATTTATTTACTAGTTTTAGTTCCATATGAATACATATTTTCTTTAAAATTGACGTTTTTCATTTTATTTTTTATGCGGTATATGACGTCAGTGTCATTTTGAGAATAAACTATGCTTTTCGCAGGACATGCCGTTATATGACGCAGTGGTTTTTATCTATATTTCTAATTCTTTGGAAAAATGTGATTTTAAAGCTATATGTTTCGTTTCTCTACGTATAAAACTACTTATTCTACCACTGTGACAATTTGAGCACACTTGACTTTATTTTAGTGCCCTGTTGAAATAAAGGCCAATGACGTGATTTCACGTCACTATCCGCGAATGTGTTAATTTATTTTATTGTTTAAAAAAAAATTGGCTTAAATAAAATCATTAATTAGCAATTTCTCGATTTGTTGTCTTGTGATAACGTTTTTTTCCTGTGTTCTTAATTTCATTCTCAATCTTACCAAATTCTCAAAGGTAATACCACAAGACGAGAAATTGTTTTATTGGACATTTGCATAATTTGTAAAGAAACATCATAATTTTCCTAAAAGAAATATTCACATTGCGTGGTATTTGAAAAGATTGTTTAACAATATAAACAGATATAAATAGCATTATTTTTCCGTAAGGTGAAGTCATCAGTAATGTCGAGTCTTTATTTACAATGTAATTTAAACAACCTAAACGATTTTTGTCAATTTTTCGTTACCTTTTTGAAAAACCTCATATTGAATTTGAGAGAAAATACTGTACCATTTAGTGTAATCGGTGTATTATAGTGTTAAATAATCAGAATAAAAATATTTCCAAAAATGAAATATCCATTGAAATTACATTATTATTCCAGACATATTCTTGTAACATTCTTGATGCGATGTACATAGATAAAGTCAAAGTAGTAGGATTGGCAGCTTGGAGCTTGATGGACAATTTTGAATGGGCTCTGGGCTATAAGTAAGTATTCCTTTCATAACATGCTGAATATTTTTTAAGAAGCGATTGACAAATTGCTATAGGCTTTGTTGCCTGCTTTCTCATGTCTAAATGTGATTGATATAGTGATAAATGTGACGAAAAGTACTACTTATTTATTAAATTTGTTTATTTTCATATTCTTACGTTGTTGTCGGTGACAATATTTGAAAATAATCGATAGAATAAAAATCTCCTTACTAGCACTCCCTACCATAATCCCTATTTTCATTTAACTTCTTCCCATTTCCCTCATATACTTCCTTCCTTTGCTAACCTCGACGTCGCACCCTGGGGCAAGAAGCCCTCAAATTTGGCAATAAATAAAAAAATTAAATAGCATATACACTCTACCTTATATTTTTTTCTGATATATTACTGTCCACAACATAATAAAACAAACATGTGCGATCTTCTGTTTCACGCGTTTCATCACCACCCTCAGTCGAAGTTACTTATCTGAGGCGAGTATATATTCATTATTTCGTAGTTTTAAACTTGTTTTTGTGCTGTGTTTAGGCTGTATTTTGATTTTTTATTTTCAAATTTCCGCCATCAAGCCTTTAATTTCAGCTATGTATTATTATTATTATTTTAATAAGTAAAAAGTTGTAGAAAAATAAACGTAATCTTATAATATTGGGGTTAAGTAAAATGAAGGTAACGTTAAAATTTTAAAATATTCTTAAATACATGAAGGCTATTTGTTATGTTCCAAAGCAGTCCAAGCTTTAAATTTCGACTTTTCATAATGAATATTGTTTGTACTTTTCGAAATCGTTTAGTTTCTGTGCACTTATTTGCACTTATCTTCACTATTTGGGTTTTTTCAAAGTATATAAATATATGGCGGGACGATCGTCAAAAACGAATTCTGTCTTTTTTAATACATTTCGTTTATTAATAAATCAATTTTATTGTCCTTAGGCTCATTTTATAGGCAACTAAATATGCTTCCAGGCACAAAATGCCAGAAATGTAAAATTTAAGATGGCCGACCTAATTGAAGAAAAAAAAACGAGCCTAAAAGTAACCCATTTTAAGCTCGTTTTGCGTAATAATTATAAACCAAATATAAAATCTAATAACAAAAGTTAAATATCTAACCTATTTTCTTTATTTTAAGACCTCTCCGAGCACGATTGGTCCATTCAATCCTAAGATATAGACAATCAAAGTTTTCTGGTTTTTATGTTTTCATAGAAGCTTATAATAACACATCATTATGCTTTGCAATGCTGCTATTTTAGTTTTTAACCGATTTGGACTCAATGAGTCTGATTTGGTAGGTATGTAAATATACTCTCCGACCATTTAATTAAAATGGCGGAAATTTTAAATTCCAGGATGGCGAACCTAATTGAAATATGAGTCGATTTAGAGCTAGTTTATTTTTGGTAGATCTGGGAGCATAGTTAGTTATCTATAACATGGAACAAAATACAGTTTTTTATAGCCCACCCGGTAAAAATAAAACATAACAGTGTTTCGCACATAACAATTTAATTTATTTTATATTTTATTTCAGGAACGAGGTTGAACACTATGTTTTTATGGAGAAAGAAACTTCTTAATATCATAAGAAGTTCTGGAAAGAATGAAATTAATAGAATTTGCTCACACACACCGCTAGATACTTTTTTGAAAAGTACCCACGGTCAATAGCCTACGAAATTGCACAAATACTTTATACATGGGCCTGAAATAATATCTTCTGCTTTGTTGCCTATAGTCCAATTAACAGAGAAAACTAATGAGGACGTCTTTAATTCGTTTTTACTTAGTTTTGACCTTGTAATCACGAGCAAACAAAAATTAAAAAAGAAGGAATCTGCAGCACTTTCCTAAAAAGGCAGTAGATTTGTCTAAATCTGGACTCGTCCAGCTTCATAGCCATGGTATATTCATGACACTGATGATAACCGTGAAGACGATGAAGAAAGTATCTTATCACATTCTAAAGAGGATGAAATTTGATTACAATTATCATAGCTTTTCTAAACGAAATTATTATAATATTACATTTTTATTATCTGTATGTTTAACTTGTGGAGGGTGGATTACCCCCACGGCACTTAGGCCTCATTAGGTCCATGACATTTTTATTATATTATATGTTAGTATTACAAAAGCAAATACACAGAGGGCTTAATAGAATATATATTTTTATTATATTATATTCTTAATAACTTTCTATTTTTTTTTTTTAGCAAACAAACACTTTATAAGTCCTCTATGTATTTTCATTTGTAATACTAAAACCTCTACAAAGCATTTAACTTACAAATTCATAAAGAGAGTCTGTGATTTATTGCCAACTTTGATGGCTTGTTGCCCCAGTGTGCGTCGTGATGTTCTTCTAAATTTTTGAATTTTTTTCCTAATTACATATTTATATGGCCTGATCATGGCGAATTAGCCGAAACCGGTTGCCGTTTCACTTATATATTAAGTTTTATATGGCATATGATTTTGTGTATTATTTTGTTAATAATTGATAAAGTTATGTACAATTGTTTCTTGCGTTTCCTATAGATGTTTTTCATAAAAAAAGTATGATCAGTAGTTATCACATGTCAGCAGAGAGGTGGAAGGGATGGAGATGTCATAAAGATTTATCGTGGTACAAACTAAATGGCATCACAAGGCGAAGTTTATTTCAAACTAGTAGTGGGGATAGAAAATGAAATGTATTTATACATTTTTAGTCCCATCAATTAAATATTAAAAATTTGTGAAGTAGAAATTAATTTTAATCAAGTACAAAATTTCATTTTTCAAAAAAAAAAATCAAGATAAGTTAAAATGAAATGGCAATGAGCAGAAATGTATGGGAATTTGCCCCATCCCCATTAAAATTGAAAGATCTTTTTGAGAAAAATATTTCTTTTCATTACAACTCATCTCAATTACATGTCCGTTCCGAGTTATATCACCCATGTAATTAATTACATGATAGGCCAGTGCTTATATTCTGTTATTGTAGTCTAGGAATTATAAGTACTATAAAATATAAAGTAATTTTTCGAGTATGAGTCCCATCAGGATGAAAGTACTTACGAGTACCTATTACTGAGTACTTTGGGTACTTGAGTACTGCCCAGATCTCTGTTTGTAACACATATAGGGTGGTCATCCTATACACGTCGGTCCAGACTATGACAGGCCCAGGTTAGAATCTGGGTGGGGGACTAATTAATTCAAATCCTTTTTTTTATTTTATAAATTAGTAAAAATCATAAATTATTTTAAAATTAGTTATTTTGTTTAATAACCTAAAATAATTTTTGTTAGTGGGTTATAGAAAAAATATACTGTACAACTTGAGTGGATTGTCCATATCGCACTTAGACGATTAGGTACTCCACTTATATCGTCGTGCTCAAACTCCGTCTTCGTGCGATATGGCCATCATGTCCACTCTTGTTGCACGAACTACTCTTTGTATACGCTTACCAGAGATATGTTATTTCTGAAAATGTTTCCTATCTACTCCTGGTATACTGGAACAACTAAGTATAACACAACGCAAAATTATTTTAATTATTAAATTTTGATTACAAATGTCAAAATTTCGAATAGTGGTATGGAGAAAGTGGTATTTTTTATATCTTATGATGTCAACTTCTTTTACTGTATTTTACGATTTTCCTAGTTGTAATATTACTTACATTATACTGCTGATGTGCTGATGCTGGTTCTCTTCCCAGGTTACCTAAATATCTAAATATCTGCATCAACAAACAACTGTACGATCTTTTGCTACATAGTAGCTAAGTTTGTTAGCATCAGATTCCTTGTTTGTTATTTAACTTTAAGTTAATTTATTTACTACACTAGTTATTAGCCCAGTTAGACCTAATTAGTGATCCCAGAATCTCTATTAGTTAACAATAACACAACAATGATTAAATAACAAATTCTTTCTAGGTATTAAAATTTTCTGACATGAAGTTGTATAGACGTTGGAAATATAGTTCCTTACCATCGAAGGAAATATGTCATTATCATTCATGAAACTTTTTAACATAGAGGGCGTTTTTGAAATAAATGTACCTATACCTATATATAACGTTACGAATTAACCCAGTAGCGCTGGTGCCAAACGTGAAATTAAATTAAACTACCTCAAATTCTTACAATTTTGTTACTCTAAACAAGCATAAAAAATAAAATAAAAAAATAAAAATTTAAACATATTCTGCCTGTGTGAATCAAATACCTTTTCTAACGTAAAAAAAAAAAAAATAATAAAAAAAGGTTGACACTATAATTTTGCCATTAGGCAGCTGTTGGCGTTGAGAACTGAACTCAACACAATAAATAATTCCTAACTAAACTAAACTAAACATTTGAGTAGCGAATGCTTATTTTAATGTCGATTTTCAAAAGATAATAAACCCTTTCTTAATAAGTGTTTAAAATTATATATTTTTATGCATTTGAGGAAAGTGAAAATATTAACCAGTTTTAATATTTACATATTTTTCGAAAACATTCTTGCGTTTAAACAATTTCATAATCACAAGGGTAATATATAATTAACACAAAAACTTCTTATTTTTTATTCACATCAAACTAATCTAACAAAACAATTTGTTTTAGGTCCCGTTTTGGTCTGTATTACATTGATTTCCGTAATGACCCTTCCTTAAAACGAGTGCCAAAAAAATCTGTACAATTTTATCGACAAATGATAAAATCAAGAGAATTAAATTGTAACATCTCTGGCAATTATTTTTATTAGAAGTTTTTCAATAAACAAAAATTATAAACATTTTGATGAAGTAACTATTAAAGTCATTGTTTGAACTACATAACGTGTCATACACAAAACATGTTTCAGAAGTAACCAGTTATGCCCGCCTTTGAATTAAATCCAAAATTATAATGTGATTTATCCAAGTATAACCTACTTTAGAAACATTTTTTATGGATCACTCACACTTTTCATTAATGGACCTTTTTAAATTACAAATGACTGGAATACCTATTATATTATTTGATAAGTAAAATATTTTAAATAGATAGAACAACTTTTAGGCCGGATAAATCTTCAGATAACTATCCCACAAATTTAACAAATTCATCATTGACCCGTATCAAATCAAAAAATCTTTTAAAACATTCTTTGTTAATACGTGTAGTAATTTGTATTGTCAATACAAGAGGTGAGTCATTATTAAATTCATCTTATCTGAAGGTTTAGTAATTACCAATAAACCAACATTCGTCACGGCGACGAGAAAAATAGTCCTACATATCTGTGCTCGATTAAAGCAAATGATAAAGTGTGATAACATTTCAAAGTGGCATGTGTCAGATGAACCATCGTGCTCAGACTACAGACATTTGATCTAATTACATCATCTCGAATTTCAACCAAATACAGAAACCCTTGAGAGAGGAACTGGAAAAGATATTCAACATCACTTAACGAGTATCTCGAAGAGGGTATGATAAAAATAACAGATCAACAAAGCTCTGACCAAGTTAATAAGGCTATTATGACCACTTACAACGAAAACTGTCTGGAGAAAACACGACAGCAAAGAACAAAAAAAGTATAGTGGAACAAACATCTTAGATGAAGTGCAAAGGCTATTTAATAAAGCCAAATCATTTGAAGACTGGGCCCTATATAGGGCTAAACTCAGGCAGTACAACAAGGAGATAAGCAAGGCTAAAAGACAATCGTAGAGGAAGTTCTGTGAGGAGTTATCTAAAACACCCACATGCTCTAGATTCCATAAAGTCCTAGCTAAAGAGGGTATTGCAAAACAGGTAGAATTTCTTAGCGAAGATGATAAATCTATACAAAAACCTTCGAGGAAACGACAAAAATGCTCACAGAAGTATACTTTCCGGCCGCAGAAATTTTGTTAGACCCGATAGTAGCATACAGCTTTCAAAGAAGGTATGATAGGCCAACTCCTAGCTAAAGAAATATCGAGGCCGAATAAAATTATATGGGCTTCAAACAAATTTCACCCATACAAATCCTCAGGAATAGATAGAATATATTCCATTATACTAGAAAAAGGACAGGAAACTTTAATTCTACATATTTGTCGCTTATTTAAAGAATCTATAGCTTGGCGATATATACCAAAGGCGTGGCAAAAGGTGAAAGTCATATATCTTCCTAAAGTAGGAAGGTTTAATAATATGACACCAAAGTCGTACCGCACTGAAAACGCTAAAAAGGCTAATATATAGACATATACGAGACGAAATACTGAAAGGAATTTCTCTCAGAGACCGTCAATATGCATATCAGCCAGAAAAGTCAACCGATTTGGCCCTGAATGTTCTCAACAGACTATTGTCAAAATTCCTGGAGGATAAAGAAATGACAGTAGCAACTTTCGTATACATTGAGGGAGCTTTTAATGATGCCCATACAAGATCTATGTATAACATACCGGCAACGAAAGGGGTATCAGTAGTCCTGTGTCAGCGTAGAAGAAAGGGTAATAACATAATTTTTAGGCGAAGCCACATTGATGGCTAAAGCAGGCAGATGCTGCTCCCAGGGGCATGTATACCCCTCCTTTGGTCAGTCCTAGTGGACAAACTCATAAAAAGGCTAATATCTGCATACTTCTACTGCCTGGCGATCATCGTAAGAGACAAGTTAGCAGGTACAATATCGGAGCGCACACAAACTGCTCTAAACATTGTTGACGAGTGGTGCAGAGAGGAGGAACTAACCGTAAACCCTGACAAAACCACAATAGTTAACTTTACAAAACGAAAAGTACTTACAGGACTAAACTCACCAGTACTGAGAAGAGTAAATATTTCATTTACCCAAGAGGTCAAATACTTTTATATTCAACAACAGGTTAACATGGAATCAATACAAGAGCAGAACATCCTTTAACTTATGTCGAAGGTTTTGTGGAAAAATTTGGGGACTGCAACCGAAAATGTCCGTACGGCTATAAACCAGAGTCATAAGGCTTATGATAACCTACGGGATCGGTGGTATGGTGACCAAGGACTCAGCAAGCTGGACCCATTAGACAGCTTACCGGTATTTAAAATCAAGCATGCTTGACTACCACAGGAGCCATTAAAACCACTTCAATATTGAAAAATATATTGATATTTAAAGGTGAAAGTACCGTATTTTTTTATCTTTCAGATAACATTTATTCTTCCGTATCAATTACTTTGTCTGTGTCTGAATATACCTGGCTTTTGAGTGGGCTATACGGATGTGGCCTTAAGAGCAAACCGATCACCTCGAAAATTTATAATTCATTCCAAGCCTTTAATTTTAGTCCGATTTTTGTCAAGTTTTCAGGAAATTCCAATAATAACAAAACTTAGAGTCGAGATACCTTAAACCCATTAGCGCCCATTAGCACATTCTTTACTTTCAACGTTACTAAAATATTAGCAAATGAAAAGTTAGGAAGCGGAGCCTCGGTCAGGTTCCAGGAGGAACCCTTAGTAATAGGTTTGAACGTGTTTCTTTGTTTAGTAGTCAGTTTAAGTGTTATTGTTGAGAAGTTAACATTGTTGATTTTAAATTCACGTAAAGTCATGGACTTTGTATTAGAGTGAGTACTTTTTCTATATTACATGTTGGAGTTTGAGTTGATATTTTTTGATTGTTGCTTTTTATAATATCTAAGCAATATATTTATGTATACAAGGTGTCCCGAAATTAGACGTTCATATTTTAACACCATAATCTACATCCTAAAATAGGAGTAAAAGTTTATATGAACATAGGTCCGAAAACGTTGCTTTTTCGAGATACAGGGTGTTAAAAGTGAAGTCCTGATGACACTCTTTTGTAAATATTTTCTAAACCGTTAAAGATAACTAAGTGAAATTTAGTACAAATGCTTACCTTTTTATGCTCTATTTAACGGACTAAACCTTAGTTTTTGATCATCTTCATAGGTGGGTAAATTAGGGGGGCTTAGGGTAAAATTGCCCTAAGTTTTTTTTGTTGACAGTTTTTAACATTTTTGACTATAAAATTTGGAAAACCAATGTTTTCCTTATAATAAAGCTACTTTTGTTGCATCTCGCTAGGACGCACCATTTTCAAGAAAAAAGCATTTGAAAATTTCATGATAAGTTATTCGAAAGTGTAAACAATAATTAGTAGGCCTGTGAAATCAGAAATTTTATTTTTTTTTTTTACTTTGGAAAACCGGTGACTAAAGAAATTTTAGAAAATATTTACAAACATGTGCCATCAGGACTTCACTTGTAACACCCTGTATCTCGAAAACGAAACGTTTTCGGACCTATGTTTTATTCCTATTTTAGGATGTAGATTACGCTGTTAAAATATGACTGTCTAATTTCGGGACACCCTGTATATCAAAATATTAAGTTGATTACGATTTACACAGTTCTTAGTTCATTCTTGGTGTAGCCATATTGCCACGCCTAGGCGTTCGCACTCATTAAATTTGACTTTGATTGAGTTTTGCTTTTTCAGAAAAGGGTTTTCTTTATCAGATTTATAATGATGATATTGAAATGAGACATATTTGTAGAACCACCAGATGTAAATGTTGAAACAGATGAGGACTCAGCGGATGAAGACGTGGGCGGGTAAGAGATAATGATTTTAAAAATTCGGAATATTTGAACTTTTTATATTTTATAGGCTAGTAGATAACCTGACACCCCGTCATTTACTGGCTAACGCAGAAATAAGACTAGTCAACAATGACAGACTGGGTACTGATTATGAAGAAAATGATCTTACAATTATAAACCTACATCCTGAACTTGTTTCTATGTTATCAAAAAAGGCCCAGGAATGGATGGCTGAAAAGGAAATAAATGATAAACCAAAAGTGAGATGGAAAAAAGGAGCTCATTTTGATAATGAAAGATTTACTTTATTTTTCCCATTATGCAAACATGTCCATACTGGATATTTTTGAAAAATTCGTCGACGACGTAATGATTGATCATTTAGTTGAAGAAAGTCGCCGGTACGCGTTGTTCTTGAACTGCCTGGATCCAAAAATTACTTCAGATGAGATACGATGTTTTCTTGGCATATTATTCATAAGTGAATATAATATTGTGCCATCTAAGCGGCCCTTTCTGGATGGAGGTGACGATATGAGGAATACTGCCATATTGTAAGGGGTTTTCTCGCCACAGAGAAAACGATTCCTTACGAATGACGCTGGTTACGGGCAGTTCTCGAGCGCCAGCTTTTTGGTGATGGTTTACTCCACGAACTTTCGACACGGCGTCGAAAGTATTCGGGTAGCTACAGATGGAGATGAAAAAGTCTCTTAGACACAGGTAATAGTAGGCCACAAGTAACGGGCTTTAATCGTTGCTTGGGCTGGTACAGAATTAATCACTAGCTGAAATATAAGAGGGAAATAAGTTTAGGAATTAACAACCACTAATATGGCCAGTTAACATTGACACATTTATTATTTTGAAGTATTTACAAAAGAAAAGGAATAAATTAATGTATTTCAACGCCCACCCTCGCGGTAATATGTACAAACCTTGAACAAAAATAAACAAACAAAACGGCCGGAAATGACTTTCGAGTAGTCTCAATCAGACGTAAAGAAAAAAAATTAAATTAATACTTGTTATAATCACGGTCGCAGTAAAAGTTTATTATTGAGTTGTCTATTCGGTTGTTGAGTTAAAAATTTAACTTGCTATTTCGTTCGGAAGTATTATTTCGGTCGTAGCAAAAATTAACTGTTAAATTGTCTAATCGGCATTTACAATCAAATGTAATTGAACGCTTCGGCAAAGCAAAATATCATATGT